TGGTGGCGCAAGCCTGTAAACCCAGCTGTAAACAGACGAATCACTGAGTCCGATCTAGTAGTGAGACCCTGAACACCCTGCAGACCCTTTCCTAAAATTAAAACACACACACAAAAACAAGGTTTTTTTTTTGTTTGTTTGTTTTTGTTTTGTTTCTGTTTTGCTACTAGGGATCGCACTCAAAACCTTGCACAGGAGCAGGCCAGATAGCTCAGGGGACTACACCGCTTAGGGAGAGAGACTACACCGCATCAGGGTCCATCCAGGAGCACCGTGCTGGCTCCGCCCATGGGGCGCGCTGAGACAAAGGCGATTGCGATGGTGTGGTGGCTCAGGTGTGGTGGCTCAAGCCTGTAAGTCGAGCACTTGGGAGGCTGAAAACAGGAGAATCACTACAAGTGCGATCTTATGTAGTGAGACCCTGTAGACCCTGTACCAAATACATAAAAACGGCGGGGGGCGAGGGGGCTAGGGAGACAATTCAGTAGATAAGCGCTTGCCTGGCAAGTGTAAGAGCCTGTGTTCAATCCCCGGTTCCGTAAAAAAAAAAAAAAAAAAAAAGGTGCTTTTGTCACTGAGCTATATCCCTGGCCAAACAAACTAGTTTTTCTCTAAACTCCCAGTTTCCTTTAAATCCTACATGGAAAGGAACTGGGTAAGAAGCCTGAATTCCAAAACCTTGGAACAAATGAGCAACTCTTGTGCTCTGCTTGTCTATATAATTATTATTATCTTTATTTTTTGGCGGAACCGGGGATTGGACTAAGGCACTTGTGCTTGCCTGGGAAGCGCTTATTCTATTGAGCCATCTACCCGGTCCCTCAAGAGCTACTCTTATTTCCAATAAAACTATCTTAATCTTCTCCTTTGGCTCTGATGTTGTAAGACCTCGAACTTCACACATTAGACATCTAACAGGTTAGATGGTTTTTTTGTTAGCATTACATTATTATAGTTGAGAAAGTTCTTTCTCTTGTTTACCTTTTCTTTTATTACTATTCGTCCCACTTGTGCTCTGAATTGTATTTACTCTTCTCCTCTGGAGATCTTTATCTATTGAGTATCCTTTTTTTTTGTGGCAGTACTGGGGATTAAACTACTGTAGGAAGCACTCTACTACTGAACTACATCCTGAGCCCTGTTCCTCCTTTCTTTAATTTAACTATTTTTCCCAGTTAGATCTTCCATATCATGTTTCTCCTATCTTAATTCTAAAAAAAAAAAAAAAAAATAGAAAGCAAAAACAAAAAACTGTCAGGTAGTAGCACACACCTGCAATCCCAGCACTCAGGAGGCTGAGGCAGGAGGACCCTTGTAAGTTCAAGACCAGTCTGGGCTACAAAGTGAGCTCAAGGCCAGCCTGAACTGCATAGTGAGACCCTGTCTAAGAAGACAGGAAAAAATCCCACACCCAGCTGCCAGTGACTCCATACTACCAGGGCTCACTTAAGCCCCAGAAGCTGCGGTTTCCTGGGGTCATGATGGGCAGCAAGATGGCACCTGCCAGCCAGGTTGTCCAGGCAGTCAAGCCACATACACCATTAATAAGGTTCCCTGATAGAAGAGACTATCCTAAACCCAGCATATCAGAAGCTTTGAAATTCACAGGGATCCCATCGCACTCTTCAGTAATTTTACAACATTCTAAGGGCAGTATATCACAAAGTTGCTGATGCATTCAGGTCCATCAGACACAGCAGAAATAATGAAAGTGTTACCTCAGAACTACAGAAAAAAACTGGGGCCTGCAAAATAGCTCAGTGGACTAAGTGCCTGCTTGTACAAGCTCAGGGACCAAGGTTCAATCCCAGGCACCACATGCTGCCCCCAGGGCTTGCAACCAAGACCCAGTGTGGTGACACCCACCTATTGTAATCCCAGCACTGAAGAGGCTGAAACAGGAAGATCACTACCAGTCTGAGCTGTGTAGTGAGACCCTGTACCAAATACATTTAAGAAAAAAGAAAAAAAACCTGATATCTGAAGAGGAAATGGAGTTTATCCAATGTGAAGGTCCAGAATAATAACTGTGGCTGCTGTTTGTCATCAGACAAAAGAATTATCTTTATAAT